AATACGAGTGGAGAGGAAGGTCACAGGGTATGTGGACTGAAGCTTCCTCCTCAGAGGGAGTCATGAGGAGCTCATCAATGTCTGCAGCCTGCTTGATTTCAATTTCTTGTTGTCTTAATAAATATTGACTTTTCTGATATAAAAAGGTGCTGAGCTCACTGTGGGCACACGTGTTAACAGGAAAGGTTATTCATGAAGCTTTGTTTTTGTTTTGCTTCATGTTGAAATGTTAATATGCTAATTAAAAATAAATAAAATTGTGTTTGCCTAATTAGGTCACAAGTCAGTAGCAACTTAATTTTAAAGGGCCAAATTAATTAAGAGGGCATTTTTTCTATTAAGACTTTTTGTTTTGTTTTTGTGTATTGAATAATACAAGCACCTCAACCCATCAAACCAGCTGCAAGGCACATCTTCAGATTGAAAAAGGCAGCAGAAAGGACAAAATGTCAAAAATACGACTGGGATTTCAAAGCAGTTAGATTTTATGACTGCTCAGACTGAACAGTAGAAAGACTCCAGTGTTCATCCAGCGTGACGTCGATATTTTTACTCCGCTGTACTCAAGGAGTGCTGATCTGATATATGATTGGTTTGGCTGAAAAGGAGCAACAGGAAAGCAATAAAATAAATCAGAAAGCATATATGTCCCTCAAAACAGCAGAGAACTGAGTTCAGGATCATAATTTTGTGGAGAATGGGTCGGCTTCTGCTAACAGCAGATCGGTCTCTGATATGCCTGTGGAGGAATTTTGTTCCCACTTTTCTTTGCAGAGCTGCCTTAATGCAGCAGAGAAAACATTTCTCTGAAAACACAATTGAGAATGCAGTTTAGTCGTAGTTCTTGGAAGGCAGGGCTGACCAGGAAGGCAGGGAGATATTCTTCTGGAGAAACTTAGTGGCAGAAATGGTTCTGGTCACTTGTCAGTAAAGTTAGCAGAAGTTAGTGGGATCTGCAATGATCCTGCTCGCAGCTAGTTTTAGGATATCAAAGCAAGGTCCTCAAATGTATTCATGCCCTCCCATTAAAGAAGGAAAAAAACAGCTGTCACTGAAATAAGCTAAAATTGACAAAAGTAATAATAAATAAAAACAATAATGAAAAATCATGACATTGCTTTTGAATTGTGGTTTAACAGAAATATTATTTTTTTTTAAAAGAAAGAAAGAAACAAGCATGATGGAACCCGAAAATTCATATCTTGTTGAACAACTCTTTGAACCAATCACTGCAATCAAGTGTTTTCTGAAACTCTCAGTCATACTTCTGCACCTGTTGACAGGTGTTTTGGTCCACTGCTCATCAGCAAAGTGCTCTAATTTGTCCGGGACAGTTTTTTAATTTAGTTTATTTTTTTTTATTTTTTTTTAAATTCTTTTTCAATCACAATTCAAAAGCAATGCATATTTCACTAAATTACTATTTTGCAAATTTTTATTTATTATTACTTTTTGCATTTTCTAGTTATTTGAGTGACTATTGTGAATTTTGCCTTTTCTTTAATGGAAGGGTATGAATACATTTGAGGACGACTGTATCTCCATATCTACTCAGAATTGCTAAATAACCTGGGAATGACTTTTATCTTCCTCAGAGGACAGTTCCTTATAGTTTTGATAAACATTTGATCCTTCCGTTAGCTCTGCTCCTAGATCAACTGATAACTTTGGCCAAAAACTCTTTTTTTCCCCCCATACAAGTCAGCATCAAACTGGCATTTTCTCATAATTAAAATCACGTGTTCACTTTGTTTATCCTGCATCAACAGTAAAACAACAGAATGGGTTGTTCCTCTTCTGCTGGGCATCTGTGGAAACTATTTATTTTTCTGCTTCATTCTATTTTTATTCCATTATGAACAAAAAATGTTTTTTTTTTCCTCCTGTGGATATGCTGCCTGTACATAGACATACAAGTTTACCTCTGAATGAGTTATCTAAGAGCACAATAAACAGAACAAACACTCAGACATTGGTGTTTGTTCAAGAGAGTAGTCGAATGCTGCAATACTGACATCTGTTGCAGTTCCATACATCCACGCTGCAGAGCACTGCATCGTATGCCAGCCTGTTTTTCAGCCCGTTCTGACCCACGGTCCTCTGCAGACGCGTCAAGATGTCTCTCACGAGTGTAAACAAACTCGAGCCGCCAAGAGCGCTCCGACAGATGACGGCTCATTTTGCACTACACGCCGTGATAGAGCTGCAATGAGAGCAAACCAATCGAAGCTTAAGGTGCAATGATATGTCGAGGCTGTGTGTCCCAATTGTGTGCATTCTGCATGTAACAGTAGGTTCTTTATAGCGGCAGCTGTGGTGAAAGGAAGAAGAAGTAGAAAAGAAGAACTGAGCCACTGGAGTCTGTCTGCTGGTTTTCTCTCCTTACAGCCACTCAGCTGTGGTCCTCTATTATGACAGATTAGTCCCTCATACGAGTACAATGAAAACCAGCAGAAGTCAAAGAAGGGGCAGAATCAAACAGAGAGCTGTGAGATTTAAGGAAGAAAAAATAAGAGTATAAGTTATTATTTATTTCCTGACAAAAAATATCAGTCAAACATTTCTGAAGGCCCATTTAGACAGGACGAAAATGAAATTAAATCTTTCTGAGGTCATTAAGCATCTGTGTTCCCAGCAGAGGTGACGACTGGGCACTGGTTGAGCAGTGAAAAGGAGGAAGAAAAAAAAAAGAGGAGGCATGAGAGGGTCTGAAGAGGAGACCCCAGCTGTGGAAGAACAAGTGTCTGAGTGTTCATCCTTCTGGCTCTCAGGCTGGAGAGACGCTTTCATGAAAATGCATCTGATGTCTCCTCTGTCTGTCTGACAGCAAGAATCCAGATATCTCTCCTCCGATGCTGCTCATCTCTCTCCTCCTCATCAGCAGCAGCAGAGGCAGCGAGGTTTTCAAGAGCCACTTCAACACCTGCAGATGCTACAAAACTCCGAGTGTGACCTCATTACAAACACATCAGGCCCTCTTTGTGCAGAGCTGAGATCACACAGGCCTATACAGGGTTGTTTCTTTAGATATTTATAAGTGCAATACACGATGACGCCATAAAGTTATACAGGGATAGGGAAGAAAAAAATGGAAGGCTATGAATACATTTGAGGACGACTGTACATCATGTGCACAGTTGCATAGTCATTAAAAAGTTTTGAGACCATGTACGATGTGGACACATGTGCGAGCAGTGACTGTCGTGACTCAGGGTGAAGGTTGGGTCATCCAGCTGCTGACTAACACAGATGTTGGCTTTCTGCTCCAGTGGTCAACAAAGATGTGAGGAACACAGGTCCTGATGTTGATAGTGCAATGAAATGTGGCATCACAGTTACTGTTCATAATGCGAAGACTCCAAACTTTTTCACCAACGCTTGTAGAAAGCTTCCCAATGAAGATATAACTCCAAACTGCTGCTTTCTCTAGAATGTTCAGATCTATGAAACCCTGCCTCTCTCTT